GATGGAGTGGGGTTTGAACTCAGGGTTTCACATCTGCAAAGCAGAGGCTCTACCCCTTGAGCTACACCCGAGTCCATTTTGCTCTGGTTATTTTGGAGGTGGGGTCTCAAGATCTATTTGCCTAGGCTGGCCTTGAATCATGGCCCTCCCAATCTTAGACTCCCAAGTAGGTAGGATTACAGATGTGAGCCACCAGTGCCTGGCTCACTTGAATTTTGATGTATATATATTCGTATTGTCTTAAAAATCACAGTACGTTAAAACTGTTTGGAAATATTCAAACATGAAGGCTAATTGCTGGAACTACTCAGCTGAAGCTAATTTCTGTATGCATTTATTATAATTCTTAGTCAGAGTTACTTTACTTACTGAATAGTGCCATGAGTTTCAGTGCTCTCCCTCATGATGTTTCCGTTTAATATTGCCTGTTTGGTCACTGTTTCCACTTTTTCATTCTCACACTTTTGTGAGACTTTGGTTGAAAAAGATATTTCATTTATAATGGCTGTGAAAAGTTATTTTACGATATATTAAATTACAATGGTAAAGTACTGTTCACAGTGAAATTACATGTCAAACTTTTAGTCAAATATTACTTCTTTTTGCTCCTTTGGACTATTTAATTTTCTTCTAATCCCTATAAATAGCACATCACTTTTTATATTTGTTTGTTTATATCAGAAACTTACCTGAAGGCAAAACAAAACCAACTCTACTTGTGGTAGGTTTTGGGTCTTTTTTCCCACCTTGGATACAGCCATAGTATCTGAAAATGGAAAGAGTTATATGATAGGAGCAACACTGTATTAGCAAATAATTGAGACAAATAGGAGAATGGACAAATTGTATATTCATGAAAGGGAAATACTGTTTAGCAGTGAAAACAAATGAACTAAGGCCATATTGTATCTTTGTGAATATATCTTCCAAGCATGCCATTGAGAGTGAAAAAAGAAAATAAAGTTGCAGCTAGTTTTATAAACAACAAAGTAATGTGAAAATTTCATACTTTGTTAATAGATATAAACATATTACTATAAAGGAATGTATGAGTCTAATAAGTACCCAATGCAAGAGCTAGGTTGTGGATGAGGGAATGAGATCAGGGAATGTGGTTTGGTATGTCTTAAGTCTGGCATAATAAAAAAATTTTAATTATTATAAAAACAATAAAGACCAATTTGTTAACATCTTGAATGATTAGGAATTATATAAAATTCACAACCATTTATCTTATACATATATACATATTACATTCAATATATAATTATGTACATATATGCATATACATATTATATGTCTATTTTTTACAAGTGCATACAGTATGCCAGGTACTGTTTTAAGTAGTTTTAAGTACTTTACAAACATTAACTCACAGCAATTCTATGAGGAAGGCAATATGTCCACTTACCAATGAGAAAACTGAAGCATATATAGGTTTAAGTAACTTTTTTGAGGTCACTCAGCTAAGTGTTTTGTTATATTTTGAATTCAATTATACTTTTTAAAAAATTTATTAAATGCTAAGACTTTTAATAGGCTAAAGTTGTTTCACCTGTTTTGGACAGAGGACTCAGAATTTTGAAACAAACAAGAAGAAAAGTTTCTCTGTGGGAACATGGAGGATTGGTACCATGTCCAAAGATACATGAGTTTATAAGTAATTGCAAGTTATGATATTGTATGAATAAATAATACCTTCTCTTTTGATATCTCTTCCTATCAGGATACCCAAAAGTCTTAAATCATGACTCACAACAAAGTCTTAAATCATGTTATTATTATAACAATAATATAATCACATATTATTGTTATGTTGGTATTTAATGTGGTGTGAGCCCTTTGGGTGGGGTTATGTGAAAATATGTGAATTTTTTGTGGCTGATCTACAGAAGACATCTTAAAGACTAATCTTAAAAGAGGTGAACAGTGCTTGCTTCAGCAGCACATACACTAAAATTGGAACAATACTGAGAAGATTAGCATGGCCCCTGGGGCAAGGATGACACGCAAATTCGTGACACATTCCATATTTTTTTGTGACACAGGTTACTCCAGAGGCACCTGCACACCCATGTTTATTGCAGCACTATTCACAATAGCCAAGTTATGGAAACAGCCAAGATGCCCCACTACTGATGAATGGATCAAGAAAATGTGGTATTTATGGAATTTTACTCAGCCATGAGGAAGAATGAAATCTTATCATTTGCAAGTAAATGGGTGGAACTGGAGAACATCATTCTGAGCTAGGTTAGCCAGACTCAGAAGACCAAAAATCTCTCCCTCATATGTGGACTTTAGATCTAGGGCAAATACAGCAATATGGTTGGACTTGGGTCACCTGATAAGGGGAGAGCACACATGGGAGGTATGGAGATAGGTTAGAAACCCAAAACATGATAGTATTTGATGTCCCCATTGCAGAGGAACTAATACAGAAACCTTAAAGCGACAGAGGTCATCAGGAGAAGGGGATCAGGAACTAGTGAAAAGGTCAGTTAGATGCGAATCAACTTGGGATGTAACACATTTGTATATGGAAGCAATGCTAGGAATCTCTCTGTACAGCTATCCTTATCTCAACTAGCAAAAACGCTTTGTCTTTCTTATTATTGGTTATATTTTCTCTTCAACAAAATTAGAGATAAGAGCAGAAAAGATTCTGCCTGGAAGCAAGGGGGTTGGGGGGGAGGGAGGGGCGGGAATTAGGGGGGAGAAATGACCCAAACAATGTATGTACACATGAATAAATGAATTTAAAAAAAACCCCAGATGAACAGCAGGGAAAGTGAGAAGGTTCAGAAAGGTCATTTTTGCAGTGATCAAGGATTGCTTACATTTTGTCTGGCCGACTTTGTAAGAGTCAACTTTGGCTATTTGGTTCCTAGCTTTAGCAGGCGGGAAACGCACGTGAGAACCCTACTGTATTGTAGGATCTCAGTGATTGGCTGGTGAGGATGGATTCCATTTCTCTGACTACATCAACCATGATAAGCGGCTCTGCGCGTCTGATACCTGATTTCCTCCTTTTCTAGGAGGCGGCGATAAGTTGCTATTTCCTGCTCCAGCCTCATCTTGGTGTTGAGGAGCATCTCGTGCTCCTGCAGCTGCCGCTCGATGCCGCGCCGCACTTCCTGCAGCTCCTTCTCCAGCCGGTCAATCACCGCCTCTAGGTCTTGCAGCTGCGTCTGGTAGTGCTGCTCGCTGGCGTGCAGGGAGTTCTCAAGGCCCCTTTCCTGTTCACAGACATCCTCAGCAGTGCATGGGGCGTCAAATGTGTTCCCGAAATCAGAAACAAGACCTGTGCAAGATCTTTACTCTGATCTGTTTTACTTGTTTATTTTTGCGGTGCCTTGGGCATGCTAGGCAAGCACTCTATTACTCAACCACATCCCCAGCCACACTATGGTTATTAGAGATGGGATCCAGGTCTTGGCTGACCTGGAACTGCAAGCCTCCCAATCTCATTTTTTCTTTCTTTCTTTTTCTTTTTCTTTATGGTACTGGGGTTTGAACTTAGGGCTTCACACTTGTTGTGCAGGTGCTCTACCACTTGAGCCACTCTAACCTCATATATTAAAAAATATTAATCTATTTACCAGTGATACTGGAGTTTGAACTCAGGGTCTGTAGCTTGCTAGTGGACACTCCACCACCTGAGCCATGCTCACAGCCATTTTTTCTCTTTAGTTATTTTTCTGGTAGGGTCTCTCATTTTTCTCCAGGGCCGGCTTCTGACTGAGATCTTCCTACCTTTGCTTCTCTAGCTGGGATCACAGTGCCTCACTGTGCATGCCATCACCACCGCCTGGCTTATTGATTGAGGTGAGGGACTCACTAACTTTTTACCTGGGCTGGCCTCCAGCCTTGATTCTCCTGATCTCTTCCTGAGTAGCTGGGATGGCAGATGTGCATTACTTTCCCTGGACCTTTTTTCTTTTCTTTCTTTTAAAATTGCAATAATAGTGTCTCTTATAGGAGTTTCCTTACGTTTTTGTGTATGGCTCCCAAGTTTCTTTTTAATTTATATTTATGCTCAGGCATAGTGGTACACACCTGCAATCACAGCTACTCAGGAGGTGAATGCAGGAGGATCACAAGTTCCAGGCCAGCAAAGACCCTGACTAAAAAACAAAGGAAAAAAGAAAAGAAAAGGACTGGAGATATAGATCAATGATAGAGCACTTGCATACATGAAGCCTTTGGCACTGAAAAAAATTTATATTTTATATACATAACTAAAGAGGTTAATATATTAAAAAAAAACCCTGTAATAATTCTTATGGCAAAAAAAATAGCAAAAAATGAACATGAAAAAAAAAAAAAACCCAGTCCTTTACAGCATGATTAACTTATTGTCACTGAGTTATTTTGTTTTTTAAATATTGAAAATGTAATGAATTTCAATGACAGAGCAGACTGTTTATAAAAGGTATTTTAGGAAAGTGTTTAAGTATTTTTCTGTTAGAAATCTTGATCGCATGAATAAAAGAAGCCTACTGTTAATAACTTTGAATAATAACAAGTGCTCTATTCCCCCATTTCAATAATTAGAGTACTCTGGGCTGACCAGCAAGTATTTGTTCATTTTCACAGGTATAAACTAAACTTTGAGTGAGTTGGTAACAGCCATTGCCATGGGTGGGTAACTGAACTAGAATCAGGAATAGCATTTAGTGGCTTTGATTTTCAGAATTTCACTGGAAAGTAACAGATATTATTCCTTTCCCTCTCTTTTTTGCCCATGCTAAGCAAATGTTCTACCACTGAGCTACACCCTAGCCCCTCCTTTCTGCTCTTAATCCAATAACATTTGGGGTCACAACATGCCAGTTGCTTTGAGATCCTTCTCACCACAGCATGCAGCGACTCAATCTCCACTTGCAAGTGGTGCCACTGGCGTCGGGCCTCCTTGAGTTCTGCCTGAGCTGCCTTTAAAGCCTCTTCATCTTTGTCCATTTTTTTGCTTATATCTTCTTCTAGCTATAAGAAAACCAACAAT